GCGGGGGCGGGTGCGTGAGTGACCGGATGGCATGACAGGTGCCTCGTTGTCTGGAAACCGGTAAGGCGAGAGTGTTGTTGCCATACGGCTGTGCCTGGGGTTGAGGGGCTCGGGCAAACATGGCACATGGCATCAGGACCAGGGTAATTGTAGGTACCGGATGTTGGTGCAATTGCGCCTCCAATCTCAGCATGTCCTCTATGCAGAATATAAGGAAGGGTTTCTCTCGCTTCCTCGGGCTTTTCTTTCTTCACTCACTCACTCACCACACAGTCCTTTAGTGCCTTCCACCCACCTTCCTTCTACCCCACCCAGTTAATACCTTCTTTTCTATAGCGACTTTGATAGTCTGCCTTTCATTACCTACACGTTCTAACCATCGTCTGCGTCTGTGACGTCCTTTTTAGCTAATTTATTCTGCTTCTTTTCTAATCCCTTCCTTTCGTATTAACTGGGTTTACACTCCTTTTACAACAAACAACTTCGAACCCTTCAATCCGACAACATGCTTTTCCAAAGTGTCGCCGTTTTGGCCCTTGCGACTGGTTTCGCTGGTAAGCAGAACACCTACCTAACTATCATCTACCTACCAAGTACTGACAAACCGCCAGCCGCATCCCCTCTCAAGGCCGCCCGCGCCCCTGAAGACCTCCCCTCCTACAAGGCCACGCCCGTGAAGCGCAGCTTCGGCGGCAACAACATCAACGCCTTCGGCGGCAACGACTTCTCTAACAACGACAACTTCAACTTCTTCGACCAGTTCGACAACGTCAACCGCCGGAACCAGGAACAGGTGATCAACATCCAGAAGGAGCAGCTCCTGATCGAGGACAACGGTATCCAGCAGCTCGTGATCCAGCAAGTCGAGCAGGTCATTGTCATCGACAACAACCGTGGACGTCGCGGCTTCAATGACTTGGCACGCAAGTCCAACTTCAGGAACAACAACCGCGATATCTCTACTGTCATGATCGTCGTCCAGGAGATCCAAGTCAGCGTGGATGATGGCCGTGGCAACCGCTTCGACAAGCAGGTCTTTGCCCAGAGCATCGACGTCGCCAACCGTGGACGCCGCCAGTCCGAGACCATCATGAGTGAGTCTTACCTTTCCCCCACCTCCCAATTTTCGCACATACTAATCCACCCCAGTCTTCCAATCCGAGGTCCTGATCGCCAGCCAAATCATCGACCGCTTCGGTGGCCAATTCGGCAACGGCCGCAACAACAATGGCGGCAACCGTGGAGGCATCGCGGCCGCAACCGGCATCAGCAACTTCAACGCCTCGGAGCCCATTCCCACCGGCGCGGTCCAGGTGCTCGGTGAGAAGCCGACCTGGTCGTCCGTCGTCGAGGACCCTGCTGCGACTGTTGCTGCGGCGTGGGAGGCCGAGCTCCAGGATGCGCAGAACCAGCAGGCGAAGGATGAGAACAATAAGCTGAACGAGGAGATTGCGAAGCAGGAGCAGGAGAAGTAAGCGGATACAGCTTGACAAAGAGTCTTTCCCACTGCTGTTGGGGACATGGGTGTAGACGTTTGCATCTTCTTCTTTCTCTGTTACTCTTTTCTGAGGTGGTGATGTGATGGCGAGATGAGTCGCTCGTGAGTGTCAAGACGGACGGATATAGCAGATACCCACCCGAATCATTGTCGTTTAGAAGCTTTCTCTTCCTCTTCCTCATCTTTTCGGGCGTTTTGATTCAATGAATGGGTGGCTTTATTTACTTGGTTACGCTACCAGCTCCTGACTGGTTCGGAGATATGACTGACTGACGGGGTGAAAAAGGACTTTGGAATGCATGGGAATAAGATGGACAGATAGGAAATATGAAACTTAAAATCTAGCGTGTATTGTTATGCCTCGTGCTAGTGCTTGGATGGGGTGATTTGCAATTTGGATGGGTATGCGTTTGAGGAGTGAGGAAAGTGAAAGGCATGAAGGAACAGAAGTGAGACAAGGAGAATGTGTATCGTCGACGCACCTGAGACTTGAAGCAAGCAGAGTCGAGTCCTACCTGTGTTGAATGCATGACAAACCGCCGCTTGAAGTTCAACCAGCATTTCTTGGAGAGTTCCCACCCACACGGGCCAGTCGACTGCTGCAAAGGCCTATTGGTCTTCGTCGCCGGGCTCAGACTCAGGCTGAAGAGCATATTCTGGCATGTCTCAGCTGAGTTGGAGTAGCAAATCGACCCGAGCCGGTCGGTTTAGGTAAGGCGACGAAAGCGCAGGATGAGTCAAGATATTGGATGCCTGGGGACAGGCAGGAAAAGATAGACTCGACTCCAGTGTAAAAACGACTCACATAACTCTCAGGCCATAACAACAATCCGTCCCTCTCCATCATCTTATACTACCGCACCGCACTACTCCCCACCCCGGGTATCTTCCAATCCGTGATACAAACGCCGCAGCATGGGCGATAAACTTCGCTGCACCTCGGCCTCCAAAAGCAACGCTTTTAGAAATCTAGAAATCCAAACACTCTTTCTGTCACGTCTTTTCAACGCTCAGCGAATCAGAGAAAGTGGTTTTTGTTGTTTTGCAACGGGGATTGTTTCGGAGATCGATGGTGTGTTTTATGATCGACGGAGAGGCGTTTCAAACATATGGTGGAAGACGGGAAGATGGGTCGCCGAAAAAGACTGGAGACTGAGATAAGGATTTTAGTTCTAAGGTTTGGGTTTGTTTTTGGGTTTGGTTTTTGGTCGTGGGGCGTAGGGTGGTGCGATGTTGTCATGAGTGTTAAGGATCGTGGGTAGATGATACCACGAGACCTTCGGGATTGGACTGAGAATATTGGGGGATTTCGAAGGTCAGAGTCTTGCAATGTAGATAATGGCTACTCGACAGGTGGGAGAGAATAAGCGTGCCCGTCTTCCCGAGATCGCATTTACGTCGCCGCGGCAAAGGGGGACGAGAAACGGACAATGTCGCCAGACAGACGGTGTTGCAAACGGCAAGTACGAAGGTCCGGTTCAAAAAGGCTGGGCTGCCTCGGCGAGAACCTTGTGCGAGTGATTGAATGAAAAATGGATGGAATGGCGTCGTTGCGAATCCACGGTAGACGACTAAGCTAAGACACTTTCAACAGACGCGCTTTCCAATTCGCATCTCCGCCATGTTTCCTTATACTTCCACACGCAACACAAATTCCAAAGTGTGAGATTCCACCCACTACGAGCTACAGAGGTAAATCGGTACAACCTGGCGGACCCGGAACTTTTGATCCATTCCTTCTGGATCGAAAACCAACAACACTTGTTACTGAACTACAACAGAGAGCGGTGTGAGCATAAAAGTTACGAAGACGGTATGGTTCTCACCCTTCCTCACCCTACCATTCTCCTCCATCTGCGCCGTACACTCGCTCTGCAACTCGTCCTGGAAGAACTAGCTCGGACGGCAAACGTGTAAGTCCTCATCTCGCGAATTTATCGGCGACGTACTCATCCCCATTCGATTCACGCGCTTGAAGTACGGCATTGGTTGGACTCGTTTCTCGTCTACAGTGACAACCTCTTTTGCGCCCTTGGTCTTGTTGAGTGCGTAACGCTAACGGCGCGGACCACAACCATGGAGTCGGATGCGAGGTTGAGGACGCATTGCTTAATGCGGAGTATATTGAGCGTCGTTTGCGAGATGCTGGTTAGTCCGAGCTGCTATGCATCGGTTTCCGAGCCACCACACTAGGCTGAGGATATGGGTGCGATGCTGGTGGAGCCGGAGGGTTTGAGGTTGTTAGGAGCAGGACTGGAGTGCCCCAGTAGAAGATAGAAGGGGAAAGTGTGTGGATTTGAGGGAGGGATATTTTGGTGGTGTTGGAGTGAGGGATGCGAGAGACGAGATATGATGTTATTTTGTATTGCGAAGCATGATGGGATTTATGCTTAGGTACTTATATTCTCAGAATGCATCTCGGGACTGCTTTTTATGTAGCCAATAATCGAAGCCGGTGGCCCATGACTCCTCGTTCTGGGGAAGTCAATTCAGAGGGAGTCATCCAGCGGGAATATAGAGAAGTGAAGGGCTCTAACGGGCATCCTTTTCATCGTGATCGAAATTCTCGGTTCGGACGCGAGTTTGGTGGTGAGTCCGTTCAATCATTCTCATTGCAATTGAATCGGCCACTTCAATCCTAATAAGGCGATGAGCCAGTAAAAGTTCTTCATTGTCGCGACTTGATTGGCTACTTCAAGGACATATACTGAGATATCGCACACGGGGGCCAGTCTCATCTGACAATAGCCAGCCTTGACCTAGCAATTTCAATTTACCAAATCAAAGAAAAATCGGATCAGATGGTCGAATTTCCGTGGAGGCGTAAATCCAGTTGCCCCAAGTCAGTTTGTTCGCTGTGAAGGGCAGTCTCATCGAACAATGCCAAATCCGAAGGCCTTCTCACAGCCTTAGAAACTCCTCAAAATGGCGACTAGATCTCCTATTTAATTCACCACGCAATCCTAAGTCGCACTCAATCAACACGTACTGTACCCTAGACCCTTCGAGCCCTTCACTACCTCGAATACTCTTAGAAAGATTACCACCAGCCCTGAAACCGTGTATTTTCAACTCCCTCACTGTCCTCCCAACACTGTCCTCCCAACACTGTCTAACGGCAAGAACCTAGCTAACCCCTTCCCTTCTCTTCCTATCCAATATCTCACTTCAAAATATTTCCAGCACAGTCTACCCTTCCTCGAACCGAACGTAGCAGACGTGGGCTTAGAAGTGTAAGGAAAAGCCACCCTACTAGTCTCGTTCTAGCCGACAGGACTGGAACTGAAATCCGACTCGGTATGCGATAAGACGTGAAATATCTAGCAAAATATGTACTTTAATTTAACAAAAAAGGCGACGTTGCACATCGTCCCTTCCATGCCCATTCCATCCCACCCAGAAAGCACCCCCACCGCTCCATTCCGCAAGGCAGGCACCGAAAAAAAAATGCAAAAAAAGACCCGATGCGCTCAGACGAGCGCCAAAGTATAAAGACTTAAGACGAAGCCCATGGGGCTCGAACCCACAACCTTTGGTGAACAGGCGGACGAACCGAAAACCAACGCGCTACCATTGCGCCAAGGCTCCAATATTTACTGTTCTGTAAAATTGCATCGAATTTATAGGTTTTATGCCATGATCTGGGACGACTATGACGGGCAGGAAGGGTTTTCAGGCGAAGCAGGTGGGGGCGGCGGTGGAGTGGGTCCCCCCGAAGTGGGGCTAGGTAATTAGGGGCTATTCTCCGTGGATGTGGTTGGCTGGGGCGCGGAGGTGTTTATCCTTGGTACAGTGCCGTCATGATGCTATCGAAGACCCAGGATTTCATGTGATCGGGAGGGGATGAAGAACACGGGCATCACAAAGACAGAGCGTGTGTAAAATCGGGACTGAATCATGTATTCTCTCCTATCAACCTCCTGTATACATCACATATATCTACAAGCGCACTGCTCCTCGCTCTCCCAGGCACAGTCCCGCTGTCTCATCTCCTCCCTCCTCACCACTTCCCTCATATGCTCTGCTCTGCTCTGCTCTGCTCTGCTATGCTCCCCAGTCTCCACACAAAAGGACCATTCATTAACTAAACCATTACGCATAAGACGCGAAAACCGCAAACGCACTCTCATAAACCATCACCAAAAGGAGCGTAAGAAAGCGTAAAAGCAGTTCACAATAAACGTCAGCTCGTCAGCATTACCGTCTTTTATCCGATTGAACCCAATCCAATTCAAGGAGACAGAGAGACATCCCAATCCAATTTAATCCACGCACAAAGGAATGACAAAACATTAAACACCCCAAATCCCACCCACCGCAACTCCTGAACCAGCGGGAACATCGGGACGGGGTGGAGAAGAGGGGTTATTACGGGTCGGAGGAGGTGCGCCGTATTGCATTGCATGAAAGCAACGGCGGAACGAACGAACGTAAAGCCGGAGTGGGATTGATCGACTGATTGATTGGGGCAGTGGGGAAATGGACCGGAGACCGTGGATTGATGACAGGCGAGCAGATCGAAGTTCATGAGTAAAGACCGTGGCGAAAATTATACGTATGAGATGGAACCGAACTAGAACGGAAATGAAAAGGGACCGGTGAGGGTGTATGCTGTATCGATGCTTGCTTTCTGCGGAACGGACGAACAAATTTCTCAATCAACGCTAGACTAAACGCAAAGAAAACGCACGAAAATCCAAAATGTGCGATATGCTGGGATACGATGTGGTATGCTGGAAGAAGCAGTACTCTCGATCGATCGGTCTCGGGTATCCTGGTGTACGATGAAGGTGAGATCGACGTGGTAACGATATGTCAAAAGGTGGCGGCAAGGTTTAGGCGGATTCTACCATACCAGGAAGAATGCGAAAAAGATGATGATGATGACAACTATCGCCGGAATACCGACTTGTGTGTGAGTGGCGAGTCGAACTGTGGCAAGGGTCCGCGCACCCGCCCTCCTCTTGCAACGGGCGTTGATCCCGTGCAAAAGATGCAGACAAACACCGGAGGAAGATTCTGGTTGTTCAGACCGACACAGGCCATATGTAGCCATTTGGTACACGACTCGCATTGCACCATGGGCCGGCCGTCGTCTGCCGAGTTGCATATGCAACGCGTGCTTTCGCTCGAAAGGCTGCTCCGGTCGGTCGAGGGTGTGAGGCCAGCGTCATTGGTAGTCGCTGGTGATGCGCTAAAGGAGTTGCTATATGGGTCGTATAACCCTTGGGGGCTGGAGTTGTGATTGACAATCTCAGCAGAGGCTTGAGCCCAGCGTTGATTGTGAGCTTGGAGAGTGTTTTGGGACGAACGTTCTGTCACGAATTAGCATCGAAGGGGGATCAGTCGCGATATCGTACCACTCCGCTTTTGCCGACCCTCGACCACCTTCTTCAAGGCCCCAAGAGCATCCCCAGCCGAATCAGTCATTTGCTGGTCAGCGTTCTCCTTTGCGTCGCCAAACGACGAAGGAAAGTCCATCATGCTATATCTGCGAAAGGGGTTGTCTGCCTTCTTCACAGGACGTATAGTCTCAAACGACGACTTGTCAAAGACGCCAGAGGCAGGTCTCGGCATCTTGAAAGAATTGGAACGCTGAAGATCTCCACTCTCCTGTCGAGCATGTTTCGAGACACGACGCTGGGGTGGCAAGGTGAAGGAAGTGTTGCGGCTGAGAGTGACGGGCTCATCGGACTCTGACTCGCTGTCCTCGTCTGCCCATAGTTGAGGATATTGTTTCCTCATGTCTCTTTGTGACTCCCTGCTAGAATCTCTCTGCCTGGCATCGTCTTCTGCAGGAACAGTCTCCGTACGAGCCCGGCCATCCGAGTCAATGACAAGCCGGGTCCGAGGCCGCCGAATCTCCGGGATGGCCATGAGTGAGCCACCACTCTGCCTCTTCAAGGGAGAAGACCTTCGGGGGATGTGGTAACCCTGTGCGGGACCTGAACTTTTTGACTCCATGGACGAAGGCCTGCTCTTTCGGAACCCACTGTCGGTGTTGCTACGCTGAAGACCTGGTCTTGTATTCTCCGCCGATGCAGTCGATGAGCTGGTGTTAGTTCGAGAGTGCTGACTCTTCGTTTTCTTCGCCATCTCCTTCTCCCGCCGCGACTCCTGAACCTGGGTCTCATAAGGCTGCCTGTTATCCATGCTTGTGTTCTTCGGTGGAATTGTACCAAATGAGGAAGAAGGTCCCGGGCTAGAGAAGCTAAAGAGCATGCTTGGATCGACGACCCCCGACGTTGAGAGGAAAGAATTTGGCCGGGAATTGGTAGCTTCGGGAGCGCCTGTGCTACTCATAGCAAATGATGTAATGGGACCCGGAGAGGACATGCCGTGGAGGGCTTGGAAGGCCTGCTGGTTCATCTGGTTAGGGGTATGAAAAGTCTGCCAGTTCAGGTTGCCTTCAATTTTATGTGGCGTTGGTCCAAAAGGATCTGACGCAATCGGCATGTCTACATCCATTCCATTTCCGTCGGTGGGCGGCTGGTCCCAGAACAAGCGAGAGTGTGGCAGAGCAGGCGCTGACATAGGTCCTGTGCTTGGGAAATGTAGCATGTCGGGAGAGAATTGGAGCGCTGGGAAGCCAAACGGTGTCTGGTTGAAGAGACCATCTTGTGTCTGCACCTGGCCCGGTGTCCGTTGAACTACAGTAGCGGGTGTGGCAAATTCATGTCCCCCACGTTGCTGTTGGCCCCTCCGTGAGGTTGCGTCCCGTGTGGGAGGCGGCGTTTGCATCTGAGACATATCCATGCTGACAGGCCGCCGTTGCAAGTTTGGATTCTCCCTTAGCCTATTCTCGTTTCTATTCACCGCGAAGGGACCTGGCGACGACGACAGCCTTCGAGACGGGTCGACAGGAGGGAGCGGGAGGCTGGTCGGTATGAAATGATTGACATGAAATTCTGGGTCTTCGGGGGTTCGTGTCTGACTATATGAGCTGGACGGCCGCTCTATCGGTGTCGATATAGTAAATGACGGCGTCTGTGCAGGTGTATAGTGCCCATTGACCCGGGGAGTCGACCAGGCGTCGAGGAAGTGTAATTGCGGAACACCCTCCGCTTTGGGTGTTTTAAAGGACGAGTCCGGGAAGTTTACGGACTTCGGTGTGGAGGACGGGCTTGGGAGGTGCCAATCCGTTGATCTAGTGGAACGCATCAGACGTTAGCATGGGAACACCTGTCGATGGAAGAACAAAGGACAGTACTGTGGATCCAAGGTCAAACGGCGGGCATTGCGGGATGCATTGCCCAAGGATTGAGGGAAAGCCCTCCTTTTCAGGAACGGGATCGTAGCACATGTCCAACTGGGAGGGCAGCTTTGGTCTTGTGGTGGAGCTTCAGCATCGTAACCGTGCGGTGCTGCCTGCCCTCTGCCTAGAGGCAAACATCGGAGAGAAAGTTGATTCGGCAATGATCTGTGAGAGCAGGCAGCGAGGTGTTGAAGCCCCCACCTGCCTCTCCAGCGAAGCTCGTAGCACCGTCATAGGATCCCCTTGCCCGCATTCCAGCAGTGGGCACACATGGGGAAAGGTGAACCAGGTAGAAGGGATGTCCGTACCCATATATGTGCTGGTCCAAACTCATAGCAAACCGAGTGAAACAGTGTCCCTGCCCCAATGACCATGTACAGTTGTAAAGGAATGCGGCGTCTGGCGAGGCTCCGAGGTGCGGCGGTGGTGGTGGTGGTTGAGGGGGGGAGGGGGACGATGGCGCTCTGGCAGAGAATTTCTCTTCACTACCTACGATCTCGGAGGCCTGAACTGGGGACAGCTTCGGGCAATGAAGCTGTGGTACGCTGTACAACGCTCGAGAGGTAGGGTTCGGGAGGTGCCAGTAGTGTGTGAGGCCTCGTGGCTGCAGGTACAGAGGGAGGGATAAGACGGCTAGTCGTCGAAATAATGACTGCACTCTGCAGGTCCGAGGGGTGTGGTTAAAACAAGGTGGATTAAGGTATCGCTTGTGTTTCCGTACAGATTTCACGTAACGAGCGTAGTGGGGCCGGCACAGACAGACGATGCAAACGAGTTATGGCTGCTGGCAACCAGGGAGAAATAATTGGACGTACCGGCTTGTGCCCCGGCCAACTGGCGATAGCACAGGAATGTTCTCCTGAGCTGGGGGGCAATCACGGATCTGGCAGGAGGAGATCAGGTACCACGCCGCAGCAGCGGGCTGAAGGCATGCTGGTGCTGGCGGGGATGCTGGAGTTGAGGCGAGATCATTATTGGCAGGGAAGCGTGGTTGAAGCGGTTCACGGAGCACCGAGGTGAGGTGGAGTGGCCGGCTTGGGAGGCCAAAAGACGGTAGATTACTTGGTACAGCTGCGACTAGCCTCTGCCTAGATAGAACGATGTGCTAATAATGCTAATAAAACTGGCAAACGGCACGGTATCGTTGTGAGGGCTGAAGGGATCCGTGGCGGGATGCCATGGGAATGCCATTCCGCCGTGGGAAATCGGCCTCGAACGAATGGTCATCACGCTAGGAGAAACCGCTGGCGAACGCCTCTCCACCACTCATTGCCCGCGATGCAGATATCTGGGCGGCCTGCTGCTGCAAACTCCTGAGCCCAGCGAGCCGTCC